AGGGGCATTTGTTTCTGTCCCCCCCATTAGAATGTTAGCATTACATTATTGTATCACCCCTCCCAGTTGTTCATACCAATTTACTTTTCTAGGTTTCTTTGGACTTTTTTGTTTGTATTTCAAAGATCCTACTCAGCTCTATTCTTTTCATCTGAAATGCTTTGAAAAGTCCTCTATTTCATGAAATTTCAACTTTTTTTTGCCTGTGGAATTATACTCAGCTTTTCAGGATAAGTTATTTTTGGTTGTAAGCCTATCTTGTTTACTCTTTTGGATTATGTATCCCAAGGTCTCTTCTGGCTTATATTAGAAGCTACCCAGTCTTATGTTAATTTTGACTGTCCTTTTTTGGTACCTGGCTTCTTATAATATTTTTTTCTTCTACAGAGGGGGCCTTGATTTTGGCTATGACATTCCTGAGACTTTCAGGAGGTAATAAGTGGATTCTTTCTATCTTCATTTTGCACTCTCATTCTAATAGTTCTGTCAGTTTTCATTCATGATGTGAAATATAGTGGCCAGGGTTTTTTTTTTAAATCATGGTTTTCATTTGACAATGTTTCTTAAATTATCCTTCCTTGATGTATTTTCTAGTTTTTTTAATATGATATACTACATTTTCTTTTATTCCTTCAACTTAAAAAAAATGTGTTCTGATATTTTTTTTTTGTCTCACAGACTTATTAGTTTCTGTTTGACTTATTATAGATTTTAAAGGGTTTATTACTTGTATAAGTTTCACCACTTTCTCTTTTCAACTCTTTATTCTCCTTCCAATTCTTTCCTCTAGAGCTTTTATTTTTTCTCTTGCTTCATTTTTTCTAAGTATTTCTGTAGTCCTTGCGGTAAATCCATTTTTTTTTCCTTTTTGTTTCATCTTGTACTTGTAATAGAGTTACTCTCTTCATTTTGGGAGGAGGGAATCTCTACGATATTTTTTTTCTTAATACTAGTTGGGGTCTTCTTTGGTTTACTTATCTCTCTAGCTTTATTTCCTAAATTAGAGCTTTGCGCCAGGATGAGTCTATGCCCCCTGCTGCATTTTTGGGTGGACAACCCTGCTTAGTCTCACCCTTGTTCAACTGGGTTAGGCCCTTCTAGATCTTTGAGGTTCAGAGTGCTGGGTTTTAAAGGCCCTCCAATGCATTTCATGTCAGGTCAGATTAATAAAGATTTGTTAAGTGCTTGACATATACTTATGCCAAGAACTTTGCTAAGTGCTAGGATATAAATGCCAGCAAAAACAAAGATAATACCTGCTCTTGAGGAACTTATATTTTAATGGAGAAAGGCATCACATAAACAGGAGTTGAAAAGGTGTTTTTTTTTGGGGGGCGGGGAGGTAGCAAAGTACGGAGAATCAGAAGCAGAACTGGGAGAAGAGTAGAAGATGATTGTCCTGATTCCTTCCACAACATGGAAGTCCTGGGAAGAACTTACCAATGGGAGAAGGCACAAGGATGTTCCAGGGTGAGAAGGTCACAGGTACTGAAGGAACTTTCACAATGAGAAGGATCAGAATCAGAGCTGGAAGAGGACAGAGTTGTAGGGATTTCAGAGCTCCTGGGCCTGGAGTGTCTTAGTCACCCTAGAACCATCATGCTCCAAGTATTGCCTCATTGCACTGGTTCTATCATTCTGTGGCTTCTAAGGTCCTTACCATGGGGCTTTTTGGCCACCATGGATGTTTCTTGGGGCAACTCTGCTGCCTATAAGTGTCTCTGGCCCATGTCCCATCGTGCTAGGAGGGCTATTTGCCTATGCTGGCAGTGGCTTTACAGCTGTTACCCCCCTCCCTTTCCTATTCCTCACAGGCTTCTGGTTAACTTCTTGTGCAGTTCTGGCATACTTACTTACTATGGTTTCTTTTCTTTTCTTTTTTTAGGCAATTGGGGTTAAGTGACTTGGCCAGGGTCACACAGCTAGTGTCAAGTGTTTGGTCTGAGGCCGGATTTGAACTCAGGTCCTCCTGACTTCAGGGCCAGTGCTCTATCCTCTGAGCCACTTAGCTGCCCCCCTTACTATAATTTCTTGTTGGACTTCTTGATCATTATTCAGCGTGGTATAAAGTTCAGATTTTTGTTAAAATAGGTATATAGGATCTGGGATGGTCTGCTTCCATTTACATAGCCATTTTGGTTGAAAGTGCCTATTCCTTCATTCTTCCTACATTGTACCACTTGATTGATTGATTTTCTTTATGATATTCTACTCTTTCCACTACAAATATTATTCTCTTTTCCTCAAGGAGTTTACATTCAACATCACATAAACACATAAGTAAATACAGCATAATTTGAAGACAGAGAGGATTTAACAACTGAGGGCATCAGGAAAGGCTTCTTATAGGGATATCATGTGATGGAAATTAAAAATCCTAAATGGTACAATTAACGAGAGAGTAAATTTACTTTTTGAGAAAGGGCTGCAAGACTAGCTTTTATGATATCTCCTGCTTAAAATCCCAGAAGTCAAAAAGGATCATGTCATGGTCTGTATTTATACTGAATTTATACTGTATTTATACTGAAAATCAAGATCATGCAAAGTTTTGCTGTTGTGCACTGTAGGAGGTTTCTGTCTTCTTAGGGAAGCATGTGGGATAACTCATGCAAAGTAATAGAAGCAGGAGATAGAACACTGAGTTTGAGGAATGTCAGGTGGGTCAGTTTGACTGTATCGCAAGTATGCTGTGGCCTCAGTGTTCTGGAATCAGGATCCATCTTCCCCATCAGGGTTCTAGAATACCCTAAGGAATAGGGGCATCTTTTCTCTAATGTTTTCAACTTGAACTCTGACTGTCTGTTTTCTTCCCACTGTTAAGTGCCAGTGCCAAAAATCGCAGTTCCATTTAACCAGTTAGCATCAATTAGATTTTACAAAAGCAGTTCCATTTAACCAGTTAGCATCAATTAGATTTTACAAAAGAGATATTTACTTCAAAGATATATGACAAAAGTACAACTATTTCCCACCACAACTTAGAGGCATACTCTCTCCTTATCCTACCTCCTTCTCTCAATTTCTACCAAGTTCATGTTGAAATATAGCTTCCAGGCTGGATAAGCCCTTGTTTCAGTAGTTACTAAGAGTAACTGAAGGTTACTCCTTATTTCTGGAACATAAATGCTTAATTGCTTCAAAACCCAAACATAGGCCTACCACTCTCCCTCCACCTAAAATGGAAACATGAAGGCAGGAAAAGAACCTAGACCTGTATTCATAGTTCCACATGGTTCTAGAGGGGAGAAGGCCCCTGTTCTCTCCCTTTACAGTATTGTCTTTCACTGGATTCTGTCTGCCAGGTCAAACCAAGATCAGACAGTAGATGAGTCTGACTGGCTTTTTAGAAGGGCTAATCAAAGCCTCCTAATCATTCTATAATTAGCTGAACAGAAGTAGTTATGGAATTTCCACATGTGGACCACAGTTTCTCCAAGGCACTTCCATTATACTTTGTCACAGTTCTCCTAGGAGCAGGTTCCCTAACCTCTTCTGCATGATGAGACATTGTTAAGTCATGCTGTGCATGTAACCCTTTTCCACTTGGAATGTAGTATATTACTAGAAAATAAATTCTGGAAAGGAAATCTGGAGCCAGATTGTGAAGGGTTCTAAAGGGCAAGCTCTAAAGTATTAATACTTTATCCAAAAGATAATAGTGAGCCACTGAAGATTCTTGAGCAGGAGAGTCAAACTCATACTTAGAAAGTTATTTGGGGAGCTGAGTTGATAGGTACTATCAGCTTCCCCTTGATTCTTGTTAAATTATGAGAGTGACCAGCTCATTAAGAAGCCTAGAATTAGTCACACCTTAGGAGAAGACCCAAACCACAGGAGAAAGGCCCTTTCTGGTTTACGGTAGATACAATCCTCATGGGTTCCTTAAGTGGTATGAAGGGCTCCAAAATTAAGGCAATGGAGATCATACTGGGGCCTCAGATAAAAACAGATAAATTCTGTGAAGAGGAGGGCAGTGAAAAGCCAGAAAAGGCAGAAGTATTAATTTTCAGAAGTAGACACTGTCGCTTAAGAGCAAGAGAGCTGATTGAGTGTATCATCAGATGATACTCACCAGCTACCCCAAGTAGAACTTCAGAAGTACAGAAGGCAGTAGCCTTCCTAAATGTCTATTCAGGGGGGAAAAGTGAAAAGTCCTCTACTAGTTTTATTGATTTTACAAAAATAAATTTTGTTTCTTAGAGTTTTATAAAAGTTTCTTGTTTGCTTTTGGAGCTGTGAAGAGGATGGCTTAACACAGGGAAGGCCTATAAGGGAGCTTAATTAGGAGGCTCTTGCAACAATTGAGGCAAATGGTAATAAATACAAATCTAAATAGTATCTGTACAAGAATTTTCTCAACCATATAGGTGACAGATGATTATCCAGCCTTTGTTTGACTACCTCTAGTGAGGGGGAACTCACTACTTCCCAGGAAAGCCCATTCCATTTTGGGGTAGATTTATTGGGAAGTTTTTCCTGAAATCAAACCTGAATTTGTCTCTGATACTTCCACCAACTATTTTGTTGGCATGTTCTTCATTGGAATGGGATTTTTGTGTATATTTTTGAAAAAATCTTACTCACTTAAAGTACCATACCCATGGAGCTCTAAGACTAATAGCAAGGGTGAATGTTGCATATTTTTTCAATTTTTAGGATATTGTTATCCTGGTGCTCTTTCTAAAGTCAAATATTTCCCCTGTAATTGAAAATTATTCACAAATTGGCCAGGTTCTTTGAAATTCTTCTCCATGAGAGAGGTAGAAAATAGTATTCTTTGTTTTTCTGAAGATAAAACTGAGGAGGATTAGTGCCAGTGCTACAAGGATTTGATCCCCCAACTCCTGACGATACATTTCTACCTCTTGCTTTAAAAACAGGGCAGCATTGTGGCCTGGCCAGCAGCTTCTTGGGTGATACTTGTCATCAGGTATTCAGCTCATTTCGGACCTTGTTCCTACTTCATGCCTCTCTTTTTCTCCCTTGTTTCCCACAAGGTGGCAGCAGACCTCCAAATCTTCAGGTTTGTCCAGCAACTTGCAGCCATCAGGTGCCAAAGCTGATGCCCTCAGGGAAGAAATGGAGGAAGCCGCAAACCGAGTGGAGATATGCAGGGTAACTGCCCCCTCTTTGACCTCATTTTGTCCCTTACCTAAGAAACTGAGACTTAATAATAGCCCCCCCAAAATCTCATCTTTCTTTTGAACTGAAATTCAGAGTATCTGTAGGTACCAAGTCTCATCTAATTCTTTAGTATATTCTTGTCAAGGATTCTTAACCTGAGGTACATGAACTTTTTTTTAATATTATGATATCTATATTGTTGTTATAATTGGTTTCCTTCATAATCCTATATATTTTATACAATGAAAAACATTATTCTGAGGAGACCAAAGCTTTACCAGATTGGCAAAGGGGTTCATGACAAAAAAAGATTAAGAACCCTTGTTCTTGATCTTAGATCCTAGTGATTCTTTTGGAAGGAAGTATAGGTCTTTAGGATCCTGAGAAAGAAATTTGATTGTGTGCTGGACTAGAAGATAGCAAACTATTTCCATTAGTCCTCCTGCATGTTGAAAGAAAATAATATGTTTGTTGTTCTTTCTTTACGTTGATGCTCCTGTCAGTGCTAGATTAAAAACAACAACAAAAAACACTTTTATTACAGATTCTTATAGGGGACTCTGGCAGTAGGTAATTCAAACTGACTACTTATATTCAAGAACTTCTATTTGGTCTTTCTGTTATCATCTGCTATTATGTTTGACCAATCCCCTTTCCTAATTGGAAACTATAGACACTATTAATCTCTTAATATCTTCTAGACTATATCAAATTTAAGTACTAGAGTTTTGAGAAACTAACTCCTGAGAGTAAAACTATTCACTTTTATGGAGGAAATGTTCTTTTTCAGATTACCATGATACTTATGTTTCCAAACTCATTGAATACTGTAGTCCAACATATGTTTGTGGAAAAGCTTACTGTCTAGAAAAATTTACTCTCCATCAGCTCAAAACTTCCCCCCCCACCCAGTACATTATTGAAGGGTATCATATGTATTCAGTTATGTTATTTGAAATAGCTGTTCCCAGGATCTAGCCAGGGGTTTAGAATTGTGTTTAGAAACATAAAATCACACAGTGTCACATAAGCATAGTAAAATCAAGCTTACATCAAACATGAGATGAGTAGAATTAGTGATCAACAAATGAAAAACAAAACTAAAAAGAAAGTATGGAAGCACAATCCCTTTGCCACATAGCCACAGCCAATTCTGTTGAAGTATCCATCAGGCTCATTCACGTAAGTTCACCCAAATGGCCATGATCATAGATAGATCCGTAGTATTTTGTCTGTACTTAAGTGAGCCTGTCAAGTCTTCTTTCTTTACTGAGAAAGCAATGATAGATTCAAAAGAATTCATTAGCCTAGCAACTCACATATCATTGGACCAACAAGAATAGTGCCAATATTCTTGGAGTACAGATAATATAATTTCTATCCAATTGTGGTTGTTCATCCTTCATTCTAGTATTAGTATTCTCTTTTCTTTCCTGCCTATTCCACTTTTGCTCTTTATATTCTTTCCCATTTTTCTATCATGATCATTTTTATCTTTAATTTTTATATTAACAGGTCAGGTACAAAACTATACATCTTTAGCGATTTAGATATGTCATACAAATCTCCTTAAGTACATTTATATCTCATTGTGTTTTATATCCCATCATCTTACTTATGCTTGACATTTGATATATTTATGAGATATAAAGAACCTTTAAACATGCATGTGTTCAGATTACTTTCTTATTAATTTTTAAAAGGCATCTGTATCTACTCTAAGTAATGATCGTTGTGCTTGAGATAAAAGATATGTTAATATGTGTTGACAGTTTGTTTAATATCTTAATCTCTCATTTTTTGTAAGACCATATATTCTTTACTTAAAAGTAAATTACTCATTTCATAAGCAACAGCTAAATTAACAAACTGGGATATTTGTAGAAGGTGGGAGGTGATTGGTGCTGTATATAAGCCTTCTTAGCAAATGAAAATGGAATTTTAATATTTAATATTACTCATACTTGTCCATCAACTTCAGTCTCTTAATTTTTTCCCATTCTCTAACAGCTAATGATCTGTTACCTGCTTGAAAGAAGGCAATTGCTGGTCTCAGTGCCAAAGATTTCAGTGCTTAAAAATGAAATTAACACATCCCTGTCTTGAGTCACATAAGGCTGCATTCCTTCATCTTTCTTTCCAGAACTTACTAAAGCAGAAAAGAATCAAACATATTAGACTTAAGGAGAATATGCTAATTTTAGTCTCATAATTGCACCTATATACCCCAGGTTTGGAGTGGAACAATAGAAATTTCATAGGTGTTAACTGAATTAGGAGTGTAGATATTACCAATAGCATTTATCCTCTGCTGACTAAAATGATATTTATTAAGGGACTTCTGCTTTGTCTTGAAATTTTATTTACAATGCCTTATATATACTTTAGCTATAGCTTATCTTGTCCATATTAAATGTTGATTAAAGTACATTGATTAAATGAAAATATTATCCAGTTAGAATTAGTTTAGAATGAGCTAAAACTGGTGAGAAAAATCTAATGATGGCTAAAGATTAAATTAAGAAATTGGGGAAAAGAGCATGCTCAAGGAAATAACCACTGCTTTTGGTCTGTGGGACAATTGTAATTAATTAGAGGAAGCCAGGACTTCTGTACTCTTATTTGTTTCTGTTTTCTGTGCCTTGCTTTCACAATCTGGCTCTACTCTACTTTTCTAGATTTATCTCACTATACTTCCCCTTAATGTACTCTGTGTTACAGGCAAAAATGATCTCCTGTCTATTCCCTAGAATCAGACATTCTATCTCTTTTGTGCAGGCTGTCCTCCGTGCCTGGAAAGCACTCCTTTACCTATGCTTCTTAGAACCTATCATTCTTCAAGGCTCAGCTCATGTGCCATGTCCTATAGGTAGCCTCTCCTTAAACCACTTAATTTTTAGTGCTCTCTCCTAACTCAAATTATGTTATATCTTTACCTATTTGGTCTGAAAAGGACAAAACCAAAATAACTAATAGGAATTTGTTACCCAAAATAACTAACATAATAATAAAAAAGCATCTACATATTGAAGTCACCAGGCCCAGATGAACTTAGGCTACTAAAAGAATTGTCGAATAATATTGCTAGCAAGAATTGGAAGACATGATTATTAATGACTGTGGAAACAGACCAGCAAAGATGATGCAGTAAGCAGAAGGCATATAATCAAGCTTTCTCCCACAACTACTCCAGTAAAGATTGTGGTAAAGCACCAGATGGAGTGATGATCAGGAAAAACCATACTAGTTCATATTTCCAATTCAGATTAGTATATGAAGATAGCCAGAAGCCTGTGGATGCTGGATAGGAGATTCAGGCAGAAGGACCTAGGCTGGGGCCTTCAGTCAGTGCAATGATGAGCCAGCAGCAGTGCCACTCTGAGATCCAGGGGGATCTCAGAAGGCTATGGCTTGTGGTACCAAGGCAGGTAACAGGAATAGGAACCTGAAGCTATGTATCAAGGCAGTGGGTGGACCAGAGGTGAGTTTGTATCTCATTGTTCTGACCCCAGAACATTATCTCAGCTTTAGCTCAAAGATTGGAGGTAGGGCCTACGGATGAGTAACCAGGGCAGGAATCTGGGACCAGGGGCAAATACATAGTTCTGCCCTCTGAACCTTCTAGCCAGCTGACAGGGAATGAGGCCAGCAGTAGTTGACTGAGCTCCAAGCAAGGGCAAATGTACAATTATGTCTCCGAGGCTTAAACTGGAGTCAGATACTACAATTATGAGACAAGTGGGGCAGTTATCAGCAAATGCCATAGATCATACTGCTTAAGACCTATTGAAAGTTTATAGTTGCCTGGCTTGAGGTGCCCCTGATTTCATTATCGATTTCAGTACTCAGAGAAAGCAGCAGTAAGATACCAAATAATACAGATTAGGACCAAAAAATGGCCTAAAAATTCCCACCAGAAATGTGCAGAACCTGGCCCTGAAATAAATTTTCCAATTCAGAAAGTAAAGACTGAAAGAAATTTAACAAAAAAAAGAAACTGGCAATAAAGAACTTGGACCTAATAAACAAACCAAGAGGAAGGAAGTAACTCCACAATGACTACAAGTGATTCCACAAAGTCAACTGGAATTCCTGAAAGAAAGAAAGAAAGAAAGAAAGAAAGAAAGAAAGAAAGAAAGAAAGAAAGAAAGAAAAGAAAGAAAGAAAGAAAGAAATCAGTTTTAAAGATATATAAATGAAATAAGAATTCCAAAGACTGAGAAAGGGAAAAATTAATATGTTAGTACAATAAGCACCATACCTTACCCAAATAAAGACTCCTTGAAAATTAGAATGAAACCAACAAAAGATAATGACTGTATAAGAAAACACAAATATTAAAACAAATCAGACTGAAAAAAAAGTGTAAGGTATTAAGGTATCATATCAAAAACAGCAGAACTAAAGAACAGTACGAGTAGGAAAAAAAAAAGCATGGTTTTTCAACCATGACACGAAAAGTAGCCAAGATACCATATTTCAGGAAATCATGGGTGAAAACTGCCTACACATAATAGCTAAAAGGCAAATTTGGAATTGCACAAGACTTGGCAATGGCCAACAAAAAGAAGAGTAAAGCTTAGCATACTATATTCCAAAAAGCAAAAAATATAAGTTTAGAAACAAGAATAACCTATATGGGAAAACTGAATTTGTTAGAATAGGGCAACTAATGAACCATTAATGAAATAGAGAACTTCCAAGCTTCCTGATTAAAAAGCTCAAACCTCAGAAACTTGGAATTGCAAAAGCAGGCATCAAGGGAAATATAGAAACATAAAAACATTTGAGCAATTGAAAAGTTCTATAAATGTATGAAGAGTTCACATTCTTATAGGGGAACAACAAATAAGTATTTCCTCAGAACTGTAAGGTCTTCAATGGCTATAGAGGGAATGAAATAAGATGGAGGGCCTATAAATGTTTTTGTTAGGTTTTGATATTCTTAAAAGAAGAAATAAGAAAGGAAAAATGAATAATACACTGGGGAAGGAGGAAGGAGTGGGAGGAACTTATATAATTGGGGTGTGCAAATAGAAGACAATGAGAAAAGCATTGGGAAAGTGGGTAACAAAGTTTGATATAGAAATGTATTCAGCTCATTAGGGAAACAGGAGTGAATTGGTTTTGGAGAGAGGAGAGAATAAGAATGAGGTTCAATTCAGGAAAGGATTAATTATAAGCAAAACAAATTCCAACCTCTAAGGGTAGTTTAGGATAAGGGGGATGGAGGAAGTGATTACAAGAAAAGAAAGAAATTAGCTAAATTAGCCATCTATAGGTTATTGATCAAAATTTTATACAGCCCATGGTACTCCTCTAGAGACTTCATTTAAGTTGTCATTGAACCATTAATTATTTTTTGCATGTAGCCAGTTAACAAGTTCTGGATTCACCTAAGTGTGTTTCTCTACTTAGCATGTATAACACCAGATACAATCACAGAATCCATTAAACCCCATTCTACTTTAAACTAACTCAAATTTTAGAAAGCTTTTCCTTTGCTTCTTTTAAACTTATATACTTTTTTCTGCAATGCTGCCCTCTGTGGCAAAGTGAAACACACATGAAAGATTTGTAATATGCCCAAGGTAATCTAACAAGATTAAAGAAAATTAGGACTCCTCCATTTCACTTTTCTGCTGCCTCAGATGTTGAAACACTTATACTTGATTAGTCTTCTGTTGTTTTCATGACTATTCATAACTTGACTTGACATTTTACCCTCCACAGGACCAGCTCTCAGCTGATATGTACAGTTTTGTGGCCAAAGAAATTGACTATGCAAACTACTTTCAAATGGTAAGACCCAGAAAAGTGGAATTATTTTGAAATATGGTTTCTTGAATCACTATAGCAAGACTAGGAGTGTAAAAATAGAAGATAAAAAATGGAGACTTTGACTTTTCCAGGCTAAGTATACTTCTTATATTTATATGAGAGGCAGCATGGCATAGTAGATAATACTGGACTGGAAGTTAGGAAGACCTGCGTTTGAATCTTACCTCAGATATTTTCTAGCTATATTACCATAGGCAAGTCACTTCACCTCTCTCAGTTTCAGTTTCCTCATCTATAAAAGAAGAAGAATACCTGAAGTACCTACTTCATAGGGTTGTTGGAAGGATCAAAAGAGAGAAAGTATGTAAAGTGCTTGGCAAACTCAAACGTCAGTTATCACCTTGTCACAATATGAAACATTAGGCCTGCAGGTTCTCCCTATGTGAAATGTTATTTTATGAAGGTTTCTGCAAATGTCTAAGAATAAAAAAGGAATCATCAATCGCCTAACACCAAATCTGTATGCCTATTCTCATTTTGACATGCTAATGGGGAAAAGATCACCATTTATAGTTTTTTTTAATACTTTAATACGCTTTTATGAGTTAAAATAGATTAAACATCTGACTTTACCTGATTACTTAAAAAATTAAACCTTACTCAATAAATATAGTAAATAACAAAGCATAAACTTTGATTCCATGTTATGGGCAGTCAAAGATGAGATAGGGAGGGTAAGGAAGAGAGAGTTCTCATGGATTTGAAGGAAGAGAGAGAAGATAAAAGAAAAAGAGAAGGAAAATAATAATTTGGGACAGGTGAGAACTTGTAGACAGAAGGAAAAAATAAGCCCGAAAAGATTTAGTAGGCTGTATAATTTTTTTTAATTGTATAGGAACCACGAAGTCCTACTTGAATGCTTTATCACGACTTAGAGATGATTCTGGGTTCTTGAAAGCTATGCTAGAAGATTTCAAACTTTGTCAGAATCTACCAAGCTAGGCAGACTTTTGAGTGTGACTTTAGCCATATTCAAATTTAAATCTCCTTTTGGAGACCAATTCAGTTTATATTGAAGTGGTTTATCACCAGTAGACTAGCTACTTGGTGATGGATTTTTTAGCATAGAAATCTGTGAAACAAAGGAAAAACCAAAATGATCCTTAGTCCTATGTGGTCTCTTCTGTTTCTCCAGTAGCATTGGCATAGAGGTAGAGGATTTTTAGACTTCATTAAGTTTATTTTTATTAATTTTACCTATTTAATTTATTGTATTTCTAAATGTGAGCTCTTCATCTAATGGAGAAGCTGAATTATAGCAATATTTACATTATTGTTATAAATGAGACCAGAAAGAAGTTATAGGTAAGTGGAAGGATGGGACATAGGTTTCATCATATCCCAAAAGGCTGCAATAAAGATTATTTCATAGAATATTCATTTGTCTCATATTGCGCCATGAAAATAGTTGAAACTTATGTACCAACAGCAGTTGCTGAGGATAAAAAGGTAAAAGGATTCTACAAAGAACTCAATAATACCGTCCCAAGTAAATCAAAGTGCACTCTGATGCTTAGTGACATCAGTGCAAAGATGCAAAAGGTGAAAATCATTATAAGAAATATATGAGAAAGTATGATTTAGGGAAAAGTATGAGAGGTCAGAATTGTAGACTTCATAGAAGCCTTACATCTTTATATTGTGAACAATTTGTTGAAGAAAACAATTGGCTGGACATGGCAAGTACTAATAATATTGCAAAAAATAAAAGAGATTATATTTTAAAAGGAAAAGACTTGTTATTGTTGCAGAAGTTACCTCTGAATCAGCAGTCTAAATTGTCTTGTCCAAATTAGTAAAATGCAAGAATAATAATGAGAGAAAATGTAGCATATAATGAAAGTGACTCAGTCCAGAACTATTTAACTTAGTAATTAGGATGAGGCCATGGACATCAGTGACAATATCAACACAATTTTAAATAGAATTATATATATTTATATGGAACCACTGTAAATCTGTTGCCATAAGAGGAAAAGAGTGCATTAAACACCTTTTGCAGCGAATATTTCATTTACCCATCAGAGAAACATGGTTGCCAAAGGCAGCATCAATTTAGAATATAAACTAATTTTTAAAATCTTATGAGGAAGGATGAATAATGGTGAGCAGTATTGTCTGATAGAAAGAAGCAGTAGGCCAAGATGGTGGCCCAAACCTCTCCACATACCTTTAAAAATGACTAAACAAATTCTAGGGAAGTAGAACCCACAAAAAAACCAGAGTGAAACAAATTTCCAGCCCAAGACAACTTGGAAGGTCGGTGGGAAAGGTCTGTTGCACCACGATGAGAGAGGAGCATAGTCCAGCACAAGCCATGGTAGTACAGACTGGGCCCCAGCAAACCTGGAGCAAGCCTCGAGTCAGCTGAATCACTGGTAGCAATGGCAGTTTCCAGACCTCTCAGACCACAAACAGTAAGGGGATCAAACAACTGGTCAGAAGATTACAGGGGTCTTTTGGCTAGCACTGCAGCAGGACTCTGTTGCTTTGCCCATACTTGGTTCCCAGTCACAGTCCTAGGTGGCAGTCTCAGGGCAAGGAGGAGCATAGCAGAGCTTGCAGCCATAGTGGAGGGGGGCCCTCCTCACAGTCCCAAGGCAGAAAAGAGGACTTGTGGCCACTCACAAACCAGAGCACAGGCCAGGAGATTAGTAAACACCTCTCCTTAAATCATACCACCTTGGAAGAGCTGAAAACTTACAGTTCCTTAGAAGTATCTCTGAAAACAGCAGCACAAAACCCCTGAGGCTTGGGAGTAAGAGAAGTGGGTGATGATAGAAGGGAGGGTATATTGGGTGAAGAGATAGAAGCAAAATACTTTTGAGGAGGGACAGAGTGAAAGTAGAGAGAGAATAGAATAAATGGGTGTGGGGGAATAGAATGAAGAGAAATACACTTAGCAATAGTAACTGAAGAAAAATTTTGAAGCAGTTTTCTCTGATAAAGGCCTTATTTTTCAAACATACAGAGAACTGAATCAAATTTATAAAAATAAGAGCCATTCCCCAGTTAAAAAATGATCAAAAGATATAATCAGTTTTCAGATGAAGTAATCAAGGCTATCTATAGCCATATGAAAAAATATTCTAACTCACTATTGATTGGAGAAACACAAATTAAAACACTTCTGAGGTACTACCTCATACCTATAAGATTGGTTAATAGGAGAGAAAAGGTAATTGACAAATATTGGAGGAGATGTGGGGGAAAAAGAGACATTAATGTACTGTTGGTGGAGTTGTGAACTGATTCAGCCATTCTGTAGAGCAATTTGGAATTATACCCAAAAGGCTATAAAACCAGGCATACCCTTTGACTTAGCAATACCACTACCAATACTAGGTCTGGATCCCAGAAGAGATTTAAAAAAAAAAAAGGAAAAGGAAAAGAAGCTATATTTACAAAATTATTTATAGCAGCTCTTTTCTGGGGGTAAAGTATTATAAATTGAGGGGATGCCTATCAATTGAGGAATGGCTGAACAAGTTGTGGTATTTGATTATGATGGAATACTATTCTACTATAGGAAATGATGAGCAGGATGCTCCCAGAAAAATGTGGAAAGACTTTGCAAAGTGAAATGTACTGTGTACAAAGTAACAGCAATATTGTAAGATGATCACCTGTGAATGACTTAGCTATTCTTAGCAATACAGCAATCTCAGACAACTCTGAAGGACTTATCATGAAAAATACTATCCATCCCCAGAGAAGGAACTGATGGTGTCAGAATACAGATTGAAGCATACTTTTTTTTACTTTATTTTTTTCAAGCTTTTTGTTCTATGTTTTATAATTTCATAATAGTCATAACATGCCTATTATGAATGTTTTGCACTACTACACATGTAACACCTATATCAAATTGCTTGCCTTCTCAGTGAGGGTGGGGTGGGGTGGGGAGAGAAAAAGGGAAAGAATTTGGAACTCAAAGTTTTAAAAAACAAATGTTAAAAATTGTTTTTACATGTAGCTGGGGAAGTATAAAATGCAAAAAAAGAAAAAGAAAGAAAGAAAAAGAAAGAAAGAAAGAAAGAAAGAAAGAAAGAAAGAAAGAAAGAAAGAAAGAAAGAAAGAAAGAAAGAAAGAAGCAGTAAAGAGTACTATCAACTTTAAAAAAGTTTTCCAGGAGCTCCACTTAAGTCACTGAATATCAGTTAAGTATGAAAATGGAAGGAAGGCAACAAATGGAAGAAAATGGAAAATCTCTATAAATATTACTGTAATAAACTTTTTATCATTAAGAAAAATGTAACTAACAACACTGGAATAGTACATGAACCATAATGATTATGCTTATAAAGGAGGTAAAATTTGCACTGAAAATTTACAGTGATATATCACATACTTCCCATTTCACAATTTACTGAAAGAGAATATAGGTATAGAAAATACAAGATCCTATTGCTTATTATCTGTTGATAGTGAAAAAGCATTTGATTATGCAGAGCAAAACAAAGCATTAAAGGGTCTTTTCCAACAGTCTTCCATCTATATATCAATATCATTCAAGTTTCTTTCAAAGAAGTAACAAATACTCTTCAACAACCTTCTGATCGTAAACATCAGGCAAGATATAAAACAGGAAAAATGTATGCTTTTCAATAGTGTTTGCTATTGTAATAAAAAAGATTCAGTGCAGAGTACAAGTTGAAGAGGGCTTCTCTACAGATAGTGAGGTCCTACAGATAATCCTGTTTGCAAATGGCATCATATTGGTTGCATTAAGCTCTGGAATAAGGCAGAGCTTTTTAGAAGAGATGTGTAGTCATTCAAAAGAAATCGTCCTGGTCATCCACACAGAAAATACCAAGTGAATGAAGAATGTCTGTTGCCAAGATTTCAACATGGATTTAGGTGCATAACTTCCTATAGAGCTTATTCATCAGTCTATATCTCAGACTTTGGACAATGAGTTAAGCCCAGAAATGAGCTGGAGTAAGAATGGGCTTGATCATCTTCAGAAAATTGAAGAGTTATTTTAATGACCTCCAAGCTTCTAGTGGAAACAAAGGCCTATTTTGGGGTTTTTTGTTTGGAGGCAATCAAATTTAAGTGACTTGCCCAGAGTCACACAGCTAGTAAGTGTCTGAGACCAGTGCTCTATCCACTGTGCCACCTAGCTGCCCTAGCCTATTCTTTTTAATACAAATATTCTACCATATTGAAGCATAGATTATAATAGTCTATGAAGAATTTCAAAAGAATATCACTCAAAGGACAATGGAGGGAACATGCTGATGTGAGTAACTTGTAATATATAACCAATAAGGAACTTCAGAGAACAGAATGGGGGTAAAAGATGTTGTCAAAGAAATTTATAATAGGAAGAAATGGTAGAATGGTCAAGTGGTGAGGGTAAAGGATGATAGATGGATAGCCAGAGTGTTCCATCATATATGGAGAAAGTGAGGAAGACTTTTAGCTCATTGGCCCACATTGGGTAGGCCCCTTTAGTGAGTTTATGAGAGGATAAGTATCACACAGGATGGTGTGAGAGAGAATTTCTGTACTAAATTTTAGGCACAAATCTACCAGATGTAAATTTAATAGTTAAATAATTGTGGGTACTTCTGCTTAAATAAAAAATAGAAAAGGACAGAAATCCTTCTTGCATTTGAAAATATATTATCAGCCATTTCCACTTAAAATTTATAATATTCCCAAAACAAAGACAAAATGCTGTCACAAACAAGAAGACAAAGTAAACCTGTATTGAATCATTAAGTAGAACAATAGTCACTCAAATTTCAGATGTGCCCTGGATAATCATGTTCTAAAACTATTCAGTCCCTCTTTGTACCATCTCTATGAACTTAAGAGATATTTCCATTAATTTGAATAACCTAAGATATTCTTCCTTCTCTTAGTCTGACCATTTACCTAATCAGTTTCTGGGCAGGAGTCCTTTCTGACTTGATCAGGGTTCTCCTTTTAGAAACTAGTTATCCTCTCATTAAAGGGGCCTATAAAAAGATTTCATTGTTAATAGTCAGTAAAATTTTATTAAACCCTCACTGTTTGCAGGCAGTAAGTTCTGGAGATACAAATAAGAAAAAGAAAGACAGTCCCTGCCCTCCAAAAGATTGTAATCTAATGGGAGAAGACAGTACCAAAAAGGAAGCTGAAGTAAGGGTTTGGGGGCAGGGGCGGTACCAGAGAGTACTCTGCATTGGGTCATGATGTTTGTGGATTAGAAACCAGCCAGAGCAGCTGGTAGGGAAAATTAGACCAAGGACTTGGGACTAAAATGCTGTGGTAATATTATTTTGTCATATGAAGATTAAAGAGAAAAGTATGGAAGGATCCACAATGGGTAGACATGGTTGGGTTATGAACTGCATCATTAAGAGTTTCCAAATCAATGAGATCACAAATTCATTTGAACACTAGGCATCAAAGTGAGTTAATATCTTTTGTTACTGTTATTCAAAACTTTAATTATTCCTTTAGTTCTTTATTCCCTGGCAATACCTGAGGGCCTACCTGGCATCCTAGTACTTGGTAGGTGTTTAATAAAAATGCTTGTGGTTTGATTGTGGTGGTTGGAGGGCTAGCCTTGAAGACAAGAAGGCCTAGTTTCAAAACCTGACTCCCAATACATATTAGTTGATTGATAAGGGCAAACTACTTTCATAGTGTCAAACTACCATTTAAGACTGAGTTATAGACTAATTGCTGACTTGTATCAGTAGAGAGAATTTCCAAACCATGAGAGGTCTGGGGAAAAGATAGATAGAGTGATAAGAGTGATAGAGTGATTGATAGAGTGATAGATAAAATGATAGAGTGATAGACTGATTGGACTACATCTACAGAGATTTTATTTTTTCCATAAAATTTTAAAAGTTTTATATATGTATGCTTAAATAACATGCTTTAAAATTTTGCTTTTGAGATGTTAGATAATTTATAGTCATCTATGAATGCCTTTGATACTCAGAGTACTAAGAGATTGTCTTATCCTTGTTTTTTTCAAAGATACTACTGGTCATCTTATCCTCTGTTCAATTCAAAATGCCTAAAAGTTACACATGGAATTGTATAATTGAGGCTTGGTTGGGTTAAATATATAGGAAACTCTACTTAAAACAATAGGAAAAAGCCCTGGGGACAAAATATTATAAAGTAAATGAGTTAACCAATGTTTTATTCACTTGAACAAAATTTAAAAGGTCCTGCAGCCAATATAACCTTGAGGATAGAGGGAAGGGAAGGGGATAAGAGATGATTCTGTCTCAGCTACATCACAGTGGCCAGAGCAATTTCAATTCATAATATGCTTTCTGAAAGCTGTATATCAGTCTTGAGGTTCCCCACCCACTGCAGTAGTCAGTCTTGCCAAAATTCTGTTGTTGAAACCCGAGTCATCTAATTGTAAATGGTAAACAAGTATGTTTTCCATCATTTCCTTTCCTAGTTCTCCGAAGTCTGGGGAATATCTTTGCCCTCTTTATTCCACAATAACCTATTCCTTTTTCTTCCCCATATTCCTGACAGATGATAGATTGATCAATTACTTGATAGATAGATGATAAATAGATATTTAAATGTTTGTTTTGGTTTCTATTTTTCCCCTTTGTCATGGAGAGATAATATGGTAAAGTAGGATAATAATTCTAGGTTACGTTTATATAGTGCTTGAAGGCACTATATATGTATACTATGTATATTATTTTACTTGATCCTCACAACCAGCCTTTGAGGTAAGTGCTATAGCTACCCCTTTTCACCAAGGAACTAAAGAAATAGCTATTTAAATTGGGCTCTAACTTCTAGTATGAACCTCTTATTTTCACTATAATCCTTACCACTTTGAGTTTTAGAGTCACATGTGTCTCTCTTGATTAGAGAAAATGGCTGAAGCAGGAGCATGAGTATTATTTTAGGTGATATTGCAATGGGGGAGGGAGTAGATTAAATTATAGAGTGGCAGGATTGATTTCTTACTTCGCTCCCTTCTCCCTATGAAAGTTTGAGCTTAAGCCAGCATAATGATGAACAATGTACTTTATGGAAGCCTGCTTCCTACCTAATGGACCTTTAGTAAGAATTTTTTGCCTTTGTTTCTTCTCAGTTGATAGAAGTGCAAGCAGAATACCATAGGAAGTCATTAATGCTATTACAGAATGTTTTGCCTCAGATAAAAGCACAACAGGGTAAGTGCAAAGCTTCCTTTACTATTAGAGAGTTTCTAGTAATCAAACAGAACTCTTTCTTGTCATCTGGACAAGGATGAAATGACTACGTTCCCCATTGCCATTGCACTTATACTCACCAGCCTTTTAATATGGAAGTGCCATGTTTTGCTCTTTTTTAAAGATGGCACTCAATTAAATAGGTCTATTACTTGATCTACACTTAATAGAAACAAAGCATATATGTATTAGAGGTATATAAAACTATAGAATCATAGAGTTGGATGGAATTTCAGAGATCAGAATAAGCCATGGTAGATTGTGGCAACACTTGGCCCAGAGTAATGGACATTCCATCTGAGTGTCCATTGTTACCAAATTTCAGCTAATAAGCACAAATGAGAATTCCCCTTGTTCCTGCGATATTAAGTAGTATTTGGGTAAGCCTCGATTTTTGTTTAAGAGACACAGAGTTTCCTATCCATCAGTTTACCAAATGTCATCTTCATTTTGCTTCCACAACAGAGGCATGGGTAGAAAAACCATCCTTTGGGAAGCCCTTGGAGGAGCACCTGGCAGTCAGTGGAAGGGAAATTGCATTCCCTATTGAAGCATGTGTGACAATGCTTCTTGAATGTGGAATGCAAGAGGAGGTAGGTGTGCATGCATCCGTCAGCTACAGACCCATCATCATTTTCATATCAATCTTAGGAGACTGATTTTCCATGAAAAAAAGTTCTATATGACCTTGTTTTCCTTTATATTCCTAATTCTTCCAACATAAATTCTTGGATGTGATACTGTATCTCTCAAATTTTATAGCATTTATCATATACTTTCTTTGTGTGTGGCATACTTCCCAGTTATCTCATTTCTCCATTGTGAAGTTGTAGAGGGAAAATACCATGTATTATTCATCATTCTCTCGCTAGCATATTTTATTGCCCAAAGTAGGTGCTAAATAAATGCTTTTGAATAAACAACAAATAATATTTCAGGTAAAGAAAATAGCAAGAACTATGGAAGCTGGAATGAGTTTAGTGTAGAGGATTATGAGACAATGAGACAGAACATATGGGCTAAATTTAATTCAGTAGGAAATAGGGAATCATTAATGTTTTTGAGCAGGACAGCAACATTACCTTCAAATACCAACCTAAGTACAGACTGCTGCTGACACCAAAATTCCTACCTCAGCACCTTCTCCTCCCTTTCTCCATCACTAGACCTAGAAGTTTCAGACTCTTAACTTTAGCTACTCTCAAGTTCTAGATTGTAGGCCCTTCACCCCGGAACTTATTGTCTTATTTGGAGACACTACCTACTCCACCCAAATTTCCTGAGCCATCAGAGAAATGCAACAACTTTCCCACCATAACTATTAAAGATCCTAGACACAAGGCCTCTCACTGCTAGGACCCTGTCTAAGACCAGGACCTCTGATATCAGACCCTAATAGAAGCCATGTGCCGGATATCTTCTGGGTGTATATCAAACTCTGGGTTGTACCTCTGAAATAGTTCCTTAATTGGACTCTGCCTCCCATCTCTCCTCTCCAATCCATCTTCCACATAGCTCCCAAACTGACATTCTAAAAGTACATAATTGGTCCTTATTCATGACAGAAATCCTTAAAGGAGAAGGTGGGAGTTCAATGTGGAGCAATATCAGTTGACTGGTGCTTACATGCATGGTTCTGGTATTATCAGCCTCTTCTTTCTAAAACACCAAAGAAGAATGGTTTGGACCAGCAGAGGGATCACGTCGAGCATTTTATTAGAAACTTATGATTAATGATAATATAATAAATTTGTTTCTGACACCCAAAGTTACCTTCTAACTATTTGGAATGAGAGTAGAGATTATTTCTAATCCTTTCCATCCCCCATACTGTGATCCAAAGTTGCGGTGCCAAGGGAAAAATATCCTTCCCCCATCACTATGTTCTATTCATTCATCTCTATCTATCTCAACCCAGTCCCTCCCTGGTTCCTACCCTCCCTTGCCTTTCTTTTTATTTTATCTTTAAAATAATTTTTTTTTGCAATAAGTAAAAATTCACTTTATTTCCCTTCTAGTTCCCCTCTCTAGTTAGTCAGAAAGAAAAAACAATCTGTACAAACAAACATATATAGTTAAGAAAAACAAATCCCCACAATGGCCATGTCCAAAGAAAAGGTCTCAATCTTCACCCTGAGTTCATCTCCCCTCTATGTTTTTCTTAAGTCCTCTGGAATCATGGTTGGTCTTCCTGTTGATCAAAGTTCTTACATCTTTCAAAGTTGTTTGTTTTTGCATAATTGTTTTTATTTTAGAAATTATCTGGGTTCTACTCACTTCACTCAGCATCAATTCATACAAGTCTTCCCAGGTTTCTTACGACAAAACAGTATTCCATCACATCCTTAAACTTTAAGCTTTAATTTATTTAGTCATTCCCTAGTTGATGGTCACCTCCCTACCCCCAGTTTCCAATTCTTTGCCACAACAAAAAGAGCTGTTATTAAGTATTTTTGTTCATATAGGTCATTTTCAGATCTTTTTTTTTAAATCACTTTGGGGTATAGACCAAGTAAGGGTCAAAGGGTATACATAGTTTATTAACGTTGAGTCATAGTTCCAAATTGCTTTCTGGAATGGCTAGACCAGTTCATGGTTCCACCAATAATACATTAATTTACCTATTTTCCCATAGCCCCTCCAGTATTTATCGTTTTTCTTTTTATCAGTTTTGCCAATTTAATGAATATGAGGTAGAATCTCAAGAGTTGTTTAAATGTGCATTTTTCTAATTATTAATTATTTAGATCACTATATGGCTATTAATTGCTTATTTTTCTTTCTCTGAAAACTGCCTGCTTTTATACTCTTTGACCATTTATCAGTTGATGAATGGCTCTTATTCTTATAAATTTAAATTAATTCTCTATATATCTTAGAAATGAGATCTTTATCAGAGAAACATGCTCAAAGATTTTCACCCTAATTTATGTGTTTCACTTCTAATTTTAATAGCATTGTTTTTGTTTGTGCAAAAACTTTTTAGTTTTATGTAATCAAAATTGTACATTTTGCCTTCTGTGTTCTTCTCTATCCCTTGTTTGATCATATTTTCTATCCCATTGATCTTAGAGTTAATTTCCTCCTTGCTCTTCTGATTTATTTATATCACCCTTTGTGACATGCAATAACATGTAATGTCTACATTTGGAGTTTATCATGGTAATATAGTCTGAGGTGTTAGGTACATATCTAGTTTCTGCTAGAATATTTTGTGATTTTCTTAACAGTTTTTGCCAAGTAATCAGTTTTTTACCCCAATAGTAGAAATCTTTGGATTTACAAAATACCAGGCTGCTATACTCATTGACTTCTGTATATTATGTACCTAATTTGTTCCACTGATAAGCCTCTTTATTTTTTATCTAGTATGCAATGTGTAATACTTGTGAGTCTCCTTTCAATGAAGGGGTAGAATATTGGGGGTATCTTTTCATATATTTTGAATGGAGTCCTTTTTTGATCTTTATAATTTTGTTGAATTTATATATGATTTTTGGATGTGTCATTCTTTCCATTCACATTATTGTAGTACTTCATTCTGCATCAGTTCATATAGATCCTTTCATGCTTCGCTGTCTTCATCACATATATCATTTCTTACAGCAGAGTACATTCCATTATATTCATGTTTAATTTGTTTAGCCATTCCCCAATTGACAAGTGTTTAATCTGTTTCTGATTCTTAGCTATAACCAAAAGTGCTTCTGTAAATATTTTGAAGGATATGGGGAGTTTTTCTTGTCAGTAGTATCTTTTGGGTATAAACCCAAGAATGGGCTTTCTGGTTCAAAAGATATGGACATTTCAGTCACTTTATTTGTATAATTTCAAATTGCTTTCCAAACCGGTTGTGCCATTCACAACTCTACCAATGATGTATCGACTATTACCATTTTTGGTCATTTTTGTAAGGTTGTTTTAATTTGCCTTTCTTTTATTATTATTGATTTGGAGCATTTTTTGTTGTGGTTATTAATACTTTACAGTTCTTTGGAGAACTATTTGTTTATATCCTTTCACCATTTATCTATTGGGGAATGACTATTTTATGTTTAATTATTTGTCTATCTTGGATACTAAACTCTCATCAAAGAAATTTGAACATTTTCCCCCCATTTGGTCACTTCCCTTCTTAACCTTAGATGTTGTCTGTGCAAAAGCATTTCAGTTTGAAGTAATCAGAGTTACCTATCTTACCTTTTGTAATTGTCTCTAGCCCTTGTTTGGTTAAGAATACATCTCCTATCATAGCTGTGAGAGGTATATAATCTATTTCTCTTCTAATTTTTTTAAAGTATGATATTTAATATTAAGGTTGGGTATCCATTTAGAATGTATTGTGGAGTGTGGTGTAAGGTGTTGGTTTATGCCTAATTTCTGCCAGACTGTTTTCTGATTGTCCCAGAAGTTTTTTTTTGTCAAATATGGAGTTTTTCCCCAGGTAATTTCTGTTTTTTTCCATTTTGTCAAACACTAGGTTATTGAGTTTTGTTGTTTATGAATCTTCCTTATCTAAACTGTTCCATTGATCTATCTCTGTATTCTTTAACCAATACCTGTGAATTTTCATGACTATTGCTTTATAATATAGCTTGAGGTATGGAAGTACTATTCCCCCTTTGTGCTTCTTTTTATCATTTCCCTTAATATTCTAAATCTTTTGTTTTTCCAAATGAATTTTATTGTCTTAGCAAGTTGTATAACATATCCAATTTAATTGACATGACATTAAAATGTAAATTAATTTTGGTTTGTTGTCATTTTTTATTATATTGTCAAACTCTAGCCATGAGCACTGAATATTCCTTTAGCTTTTTAAGTTTTTCTTTATTTCTTTAAGGAGTGTTTTTTAGTTGAATATATAAAAATCTTTTGTGTACTTTGGGAGGTTGATCCTCAGATATTTTGGAGTTATCTGGATTTTGCATTTTGTAGTTATCTGGAATAGGATTTCCCTTTCAAATTTTGTTCCTTGTATTTTGTTATCATTATATATATAATTCTGCTGGTTTTTGTGGATTCATTTTGTAAGCTGAAACTTTACTGAACCTATTTTCTCATCTTTGCTGATTTCCTAGGGTTTTCTAAGTCATTGTATAGTCAACAAACAGGGATAGTTTTAATCTCCTCTTTACCTATCTTTATTCCTTTTATTCCTTTCTTTTCCCCTATTGCTATTGTTAAGATATCCAAAACAATATAAAATAATAGTGGGGAGGGTGGGCATCCTTGCTTTACTTCCATATTTTTTGGAAAAGGTTCTCATGTATCCTCATTGCATGTGATATTTGATTTGTATTTCAAAGAGTTTTTTTAAATAATGTTAAAGAAAAGCCTATAATTTGAAGGATTATGTGTGTGTTTGAGCATAAAAGAGTGTTGTACTTTGTAAAAGGCCTTTTCTGCTTCTGTTGAGATAATCACGTAGTTTTCAATGTTTTGGTTTTTAATGTGATTATGTTGAATATTTTTCTCACATCAAATCATCCTTGGACTCCCTGGTTTAAATTCCCCTTGATCATAATGAATGATTGTATGAATAAATCACTGTAGTTGGTTTGATAGGATTTTCTTTAAAATATTTGTGTCA